CGTATCTCATCCTATCAGTTGGAGAACAATTGATTTAGTTTTTCAGTGCTAGAGAATGGAGGAGATCAGGTGTGGCGGTACACACCTATAATCCTAGCTACTTGAAAGGCTGAGATTGAAGCATTCCAAGTTGGAGGCTAGCCTGGGCAACTTAGCCAGACCCTGTAGCAAAAATTAAAAGGGCTGCAGATGTAGTTCAGAGATAGAGAGTCCCTGGGCTCARTCCTCAGTATTGCATCAACCAACCAACAAAAAACTGCAGTCAAAGGAAATCTCTCTTCCCTAGCCCTATTAGAGTATCTGTTTTGCTGCCTGCTAGTTCTCTTTCATACTAGTCTATTAGTTCTCCCACCTTCCTGCTTCTCTCTCTTGCTGGTCTGTATTTAAGTGAAACCTCTTTGCATCAGGCCATTTTATACCACTGAGGACTTCTGCCTCTTGGGATTGCTGAAAATTAAGACTTGAAGAAGAGACATTTTACAGACTATTTTCATTGCTGATCCTGTTTCTCTGGCCACACTTTAAAGAGGGTCTGTAATCTCTAACACATGCGAAGACAATGAATGCCTGCCATAGTCACCATTTGCCTGAGAATGGGTCTCCCTGGGCACTGTTCTGTCCTCTCTCATGTGTACTCTGTATCTAATCTACTTGTCTGGTGCTGGYTTCTTGATTGCAAAAGAATAAAAGTCAGTGGGAAGAGTCACACAGGTAATAACAGTGACATAAAAAGGAAAGGGTTATTGGTTGACCCGGGAAGTTCTCAGTTGAAATAGTAGCCTAACAAAGGTCTTGAGGATCCTGATTTTTTGCCATTTGATTCCATCGTTCTTAGTGTGTTGGCTTTTGTCTTCATGCTTGCCACTTCATGTTGAAAGATGGACGCYGTGCTACAGAATGTTATCATGGCCATTCTCTGGGCTAGAAGAGAGAGGAAGTGGGTGTGATGGTACCAGCACCCCTCATCAGTCAAAACTATTATATGGCCGCTCATACTTCCCCTGAGCCTGGGAAATGCAGATCTTAGCTTTAGAGCTGCTATAGGAGAGAAAGATATGGAATGGTGTATGCCTGTAATTTCAGTGACTCCAGAGGCTGAAGCAGGAGGATTGCAAGTTCAAAGCCAGCCTGGGCAACTTAGCAAGAACCTGTCTTGAAATAAAAATTCAAAAGGGCTGGGGATGTAGCTCAGTGGTAGAGCAGCCTTGGGTTCAACCTCTTTTACTGAAAAAAAAATAAAGATTATATATATATATATATATATATATATATATATACACACACACACACACACACACACACACATACACACACACACACACACACACATACACACACACACACACACACACACGAAGAAGAAGAGAGTAGGAAATGACTTTTACCAGCCAAACTATAGTGTTTGCCTCCAATGTGAACTAAAGAAATCCCTTACTGACTTATCCCCAATGGTCAGGAGTGATTGATTCCATATTTCCTATTTTTCACTATCATACCCCTCTTATAGCACACATCAGTTGTTTAAAAGCCAATAACCATTTTGCAGATTTCACTAGAATAGGGATAATAATCACAAGGTTACTGATTTATTCATTGAATTCCTCAGTTCATCTTTAATTATTGAGTATCTACTTACTTCTGCTAATCACTGAAATACAATGTTGACAAATGTATATTTCCTGTCACTGAATATATATCTTATCTGTACTGTGGTTAATCAATTAAGAATACTTTCAGATACTCAAAGGAAATTCAACTCACAGTGACTTAAACCTTATTAACAATCTATAATTAGTTATAACAATATGTATAACTCATAATAACAATAATTTGCTTTTTAAAAATTCAAAAGCAGCTGAACAGGAGCTCCCCAAGATGAGGGTGCTGGGATCATGTTTCTTTGATGCCCTCTGTCCCCATGATTGTAAGATGGCTGCCACAGCTCCAAATATCTCATCCTTCAAGAATGTGCACAATGACAGCCAAGATAGTGACAGAATGATTATCTTGTGCCTCCTTGTTTTATCAGAGAGTGCAATATTTCTCAGAGGTCTCCTTAGCAGACTTATTGGCTAGAATGGGGTCAAATGACCACTAACAGCTTTAAGGAAGTCTAGCAGAGTGTCTGGTGAGGAAGAATTAGGGGATTGGGAATTAATATTGAGTAGTGGTCAACAAAGAGCATTGTCATAAATGCCTTAGAGTTTTCCACATACTTTTACATTCATGATCCCATGACTCARCGGACTACTAGCCAAACATTCTGGAAATCCAAAATTGGAATAAGAAGTATAAGCAGCATCCACCATGTGGGAACTTCTGGCAATGAAGTCATTTAAAGATCCTGTGAAAGTGTAAATTTAATGCAAAGGTTTTAGAGATATTWTAATGTATTTTGCTATAAAACATGCATGTAAGAACCCAAGGAGAAATTTAGAAGATTTTATAGTTTGGGAAGATAATTACATGGTGGAATGAAAAGAGAAATCAAGATGCAAGGATTCTAGGCTCTGCTTTGGATAAACTACTGGCAGTATTCTAAGCCCGTTTCCTCGTCTGTAAAATTATGTACTTGAACAAGATTAGAGGATCCCTCAGTCCTTCTCAAATGTAAGAGAACCTCTATAATCATCATGCTGAAAGTCATAGCTAAAGTAACATTAGAATTCATTTATTTCAAGTTCTTTTTTACAAATGAGACAACTTAGAAAGGTCACCATTTGTCTCAATTTACTCATTTAAGTTAGAAATTTGAGTCTCAGTATATAGCACACAATGCTTGATATCACAAATAATTGATATTGCTTCTCAATATGATTTTAAACATTTGGCCTCTTTCTTAGTTTTTCATCTCAGGCAGAATCTCTCTGAGAGCATTTACTCTGTGTAATAAAATGCAAATAATGAGATTCTTTAAAAGTCCACTTTTTAGTGATTAAGTCTTTGGGTACATGATTTTATCTCTGTAAAATAAAAATTGAATTGTATCTTTAGAGGTTTTTTTCTTTTCTTTTTGGAGGACTAGATAGTCTAGTGTGCAGACTAAAACACAGCAAGGACCCAATCTGTGGTAACCATGAATACCATTAGTGTCTCCYCAGCTATCCATTGCAGGTATTTAAAGCTACTCCTAACTTGGGGAAATGTCCTAGGTCCATTTTCCCAGCAGGTTGTGTAGGGGTGAATCTGAATCACACTATTATTATTTTGTCTTTTATGATCATATCTTTCACCTTCATATTATATAGATATGAAGCCTCTGTGTAATAACTAAGGGTGTGGTACCTAACTGGGAGTCAGACCAACCATTATGCTGCCCACTGAGCTCAGTAACTGGTGATTTCTAGAAGAGGAATTAAAAAAAAAAAAAACCCAACCCTTGGATTCTGAACTTAGGATTCATGGGTGCTTCGTGGCATAAAACCACCTAACAATTCATTTAAACAGACTTTCTCAACCTTGGCATTTATTGACACTTTGGGCCCAATCATTCAGGGGACTGACCTGYGCGCTGTAGTTAGCGGGTTCCCTGGCCTTTATCGCCTAGATGCCAGAAGCACCTCTCCAGTCATAGGCCATAACCAAAAATATCTTCAGACCTTGCTGAAGGTCTCCTGAGTGGGAGAACATATTCCCCTTCTCCCTCTTGAAAACTTTATTATATATGTGCACTTTTTTTTCCCTGAGAGGTTCATTAGTTTCATCACATTCTTATAAAGGTCTATGACCTCGAAGAGGTTGGAACCAATCACTTAAAACCTTTCAAACTAATAACAATAGAACACACATCTCCAGTGGTAGTTGTGGGGGAAAAATGTACACCATCATGCTAATTAAATGGTGTCATTTGAAAATGTATTATAGAATATATATCTGCCCGTTTATTACTTTCAACTACTTTGAAGGCATCCATCAAAAAAGCCTACATCTGGGAAAGTATCTACTTCAAAAACTGCTACTCCCAGATGGCAGACTTCTGCTTCTTAAAATACTGTCGTCCGCAGAGATTCCCACAGTCATCCACTGATTTTAGTTCTAGACTTCCAAAGGGTTAGTGCTAATGACGAGTAAAAAGAAAAAAAAAAATCAAGTCCAGAGGGGAAATCGAAAATAGATACTTTCCAGAAAAGTAGTATAGATTGCAAGATTTATTAGAAGGATGGAGAAGGGAATGAGGCGCCAACAGGAAGGAAGGGAGAGAGAACAGAGAATGCAGAAAGGAGGGAGGGGGTAGAAAGGGGAGGGGGAAGAAGCAGAGGATGAGGAGGATGAGCCAGAGGGAGAAGAGGAATTCCTTGAAAAACGTTCCCAAAGGCGGTATTTCTTGGGAAAGACCCGTTAGGAGTCGCCTCCTGACTTCTCCCGGATTGTCTGGAAAGACGACTGTCCCCACGGAATCCTTGAGTCTTAGGCTTTGAGCCATCTTCTCACTCCCACGTCCACACCCGCCTTGTTCACCGCCTTCCAAAGTGACCACTGCTCAAGAACCTTCCCAAAGCTCAGAAAGCTCACTTTACCCACTCTTTAAGGCCCTTCTGCTCATCCATGTCTCCTAAAGACGGTAGGAGAATCGGAACTTGAACCTAAATACTCCGAAAGCCAAACAAGGACCGTGTCCCGTTTTCGTGACCCGTTTTCGTGACCCCTCGGGAGCACCCGAGAAGCCCAGGAACTTTCTCCCCTACTTCTCAGTCCGTCAGCCTCTCCCCCTCTGCCCTTTGAAGAAGACGCGAAGAGAGGGGGCGGGGAAGAGGGATTCCGGGCTGGCAGAGCCGGGAAGGCTGCTCCCCAGGGGTGGGCTTGCACCCGCGTGGGCAGCGGGGCGCGCCCCCTCCCCGCCGTGCGCGCCTGGAACGTCGCCGGCGGCCGCGCCGCGTCCTCGATCTGTCTGCGCTGGGTCCCGCGGGGCGCGAGGGGAGGGGACAGGAGAAAGAGGAGGGCCCGGCAGCCGAGGGGAGGAGGCGGTGCGTGCCTCGCCTGCCAAACGGAGAGCTGTTCATCTGCGTGCGATCCCCGGCGCCCCGCGCGCGGCCGCAGCGCTCCGCCCGAGCMGCCCCGGAGACTCCGGAGTGGGGTCTCCACTGCGTTCCGCTGCCGGTCTTTCCTGAGACCCTCAGCTCCTGCCTGCCTCAGCTCTCCCAAGTCGGCCCCGGGTCTCTGCGGCTGTTAAGGACAGCGGCAAAAAAAGAGAAGGACGTTCTTCTGTGCCTTGGATGTTCCGGTCCGGGAAGGACGGCAAGTTGTGTGTTGCGCCCGGGACCCGGGAGAGAAGGTGGCCGCTGTGCTTCAGCCATGTAAGTAAAGCACTCGGCTGCCCCACGAGCGTGGGTTCAGCTTCTTTCCCTCGGGCCCCCTCTGACCCTCTGACCCGGACGCTGGAGTTGGGCTGGTCCCGGGCTCCAGACTTCGCGAGCTCGGCTGTTCTGCCGGCTCTGCCTGACTGCCGCGTTTGCTGTTGGCATTGGCCTCCGGGGGGTGCTGCCTTCCCATCCTTATCTCCTGTTTTCTCCCAGAGCCGGCTGGAAAATGCCTCTTTCCCTCTTTTGGAATTGAGGGATCCTTGTGTGTCTTCATGGGTGGGGTGGAGGTGAGGCAATTGCAGGGGGCTGAATCTGGGCTTGTCTGGACAAGAGCTTCTCATCTCATATGGAGAAGAGGGCCCTCGCGCCCCACGCCACTCCCTGCTGGTCTTCGGAGCCAACCTCTGGGCTGGGCTCAGAAAGAACTTCAGCCGCTGATCTTAGTCGGCAAGATTAACAAAATTAAATGAATGAACGAATGAATGAATGAATGAATAAAAAAAMCCTGAGTTCCCTTTGAATGATATACAGCATTGGAGATGGGGCATTGTGTGGGGAAGAGACAAGTGGGGGCTAGGAATATTTTATGGACCTCCAAAACTAGAGTTAGGAAGGTGGGGGGCTCCGTGCTTCTGGATTCATTTCTTTATGAAAAGTGTGGGAATGGTTGAGAAACTCGTTTTCAATGTCAGGAGTGGAAGAAAATGCACGTGGAACCATTTGAATGACTGAGGTTTAATGGTGAGTGCTGAAAAGTGTGGATTACCTTTCATATTAGACAAGTGTTCTGCCACAGGAGTGGTTGCGGTGAAATTATTGGAACCAATGAATCAGAATAGCAGATGTGAAAATAAGATACACACAGGTTTTCTTTTATACTAGAAGATAATTATTAAGACTGAAGGAATTCTCAAATGCTACTGATTGAGTACTGGAAGTGTCCGATAATAATTGTGTCCAATGTCTGTGCTTAGATAGTCATAATGCTGGTTAAATTTATGGTATTCTGCAATTGTAAAAATATTATCCTAATTATTTTGATTGGGTTCATGCAGAAATAATACACCCTTAAAGGGACATGGAAAAGTTGCTATAAACTGTGAGCATGAACTTGCAAGCCAAATAAACAAACCACAGTGTAGTTCATTTTATTTTAATACCCTGAATTATGTTTAGTGCCAGTAAAAATGCTACATTACTTTTAATGTGAATATATGAAATGAATTCACTGCTGTGGTAAATAGAATGCATTTCTTTAAGTAAATAGCTGTCAGAGTTCATTTGGGAGCATTTATACGAGATAAAGATGTGAAAACGCTTTCAGGTAGTTTGCAAAAGCTTGAGTTATAGAGCAGTTTATAGAGGGAATTAGTTCTTCCCACTTTTGAAGTATTGAGTCAAGTTTGGATATTCCTTCAACTGTGGGCCAACTGGATAGGCGTTATCAATTCTCTGAAAGTATTTAGCTTTTTATATTTCCTATTGCTGTTTTCCAGGGACCATCATCCTTACTACAGAAGATGGGAAGTTGATGCCCAGTGAGATTGGAAGATCTGTTTTGTTCATAGACACTCTCCTGTGGATTTCCTGTGTTTTCTGGTGGTTTCACACCTTGACTCATTCCTGCAGTTCCAGAACGTTGAGTTCAGGCCCTCATTGCCCTATTTGGTGAAAGATGGCATCCAGCCTGACTTGTACTGGAGTGATCTGGGCTCTGCTCTCTTTTCTTTGTGCTGCCACCTCCTGTGTGGGCTTCTTTATGCCTTACTGGCTCTGGGGATCACAGCTGGGCAAGCCTGTGTCCTTTGGTACTTTCCGGAGGTGCTCGTATCCTGTGCATGATGAGAGTCGGCAGATGATGGTGATGGTGGAGGAATGCGGGCGCTATGCCTCCTTCCAGGGCATTCCCAGCGCAGAATGGAGGATCTGTACCATAGTGACGGGCCTGGGCTGTGGCCTGCTCCTCCTGGTGGCGCTCACCGCTCTCATGGGTTGCTGTGTGTCGGAGCTCATCTCCAGGACCGTGGGAAGAGTGGCTGGAGGAATTCAGTTTCTGGGGGGTAAGTGACCTGCTAAACTCGAATTGTTTACCAGAATCCCAAAGCCATGTTGAAAATTATATGTGTCATTTGTCTATTGAGATATTGGATTGGAATTCACAGGAGAAGTAGATATGGAATGGCTTTGGTGATAGACTATCAAAATCAAAGATTTTTACTGGAATTGCTTCACAACTTCAAGGGCTCTTAATTTCTGTACATGCCTAGACATACACACACACACACACACACACACACACACACACACACACACCATGGGCCTACTAACTACCATCTTGTGGGAGACAGTATCATCTACATTGTGTTGTAGTTGGGGAGTATGGATTTTACAGCTTCTTGCTCTTTTATGTTCAACAATAGGCAATTAGATTATCTTTGTCATACTGGGAACTTCAGGTCTTTAGAAGTAAAGCTTTCCTAGAAAAGCACAAAGGGTTTTTGGTTCAACATTGTCCTCATAAGCCTCCAAGACTCCTTGATGGGTCTCAAATCGACCCTTGCCCAGACATAAACCATATTTCTAAATAAATGTTATTATTTTAAACTAGAGAACAGTTTTATATTAACAACTATAAACTTAATTATACTACCAAGATAGCCATAGGCCTAATTACCATGTTAGGACTTAAATGTTCCTGGGTGCTTTTGCTATGCGGAAAAACAAAGAATACTGTATTTAACAAATGAGGTGTGCTTGTCCCAAATGGACTGGATAGTTTCACTCACACCGAAAAGGTTTGATTTTTACTTGGCTTTCCTCCAGAAAGTATTGCTTCAGTATCTCTGGTCATATGGTTCTAATTGCACTTTATATATTTTCCACTGTGGTTTTCACCTCCATTCTTCAACCTGACTGGCTGAACTTGTCTGATTTACAATCCACCCTGGTGAAATATGACAACCTCCATAGATAGTGCAGACTGAAGGGAAATGGGAAACCTGGAAAACTTATAAAATGTATTTGTAACCTCATGACAAAGTAGAAGTCTGTAATGCTCCCATTTGGTGTTCTCCTGTATTCTTTTAGGAAGAATATGGAAGAAGAAAAAGAAGCATTAATAATGCATAGTTCTGAGATAGCCAGTACATACTTGGGAACCCCAAATGGATTGTTTCAGCTTATTTAGTAGAAAATGTTCAAGTAACATTTCAAGGGTGTTTAAAATGCAAGTGGCAAAATATTTGTGCTTTGGAATGAGAATTAGACATGTTTGCAGTTCTTCACTTCCTTCTTCTGAATTAACTTTTTGTTGTTGTTGTTCCTGTGGTTTTGCATCTTAGTCTGCCTAGAGGAAAGTTGGGGGACCTAAAAATTCAGTCCTTACTGCTTCAGTATTCACTAATAAAAATCTTGCCTGTGACGTGTGTCTGTACAGAAATATGATAAAACTATTAGGAAACATATAGAGGTTATCATTGAAATAAAAACTCAGTGTTCAAAACTTGTTCATAGCACAGGTTTTTAGAATAGAACTAATGCCAGAAGCATTTTAAAAATTTTTCTTTAAGAATAAACTGGGTTTGCTGTTTGTTTCACTTGGCTCTGGAAAAATGCTTAGGCAGTTTCATTTTCTCCTCTTATGGTAAATATTACTTTCATTTTTTCTTCATTTTAGGGCAGAGACTGYTATTATTTCTGGCAGAATAGGAAAATGCTTACAAAGAGAAATCAGTTTTTATTGATTATCTTTAAACATATAATGAAGGAAGGCAACAGGAAGTAAATCTGACACCCATGAGATTTATGCTTCCCTCTCTGAGCTATGTATAGATTTTTTTTGAATTATATAGAGCTAAATGTTCTACTTTACAGAATACCCAAGGGACAGACAATTGGGAAAGTTATATGTATCTTAAAAGAAACCAGGTTTTTTCTTTGTTTATGCTTTTGGTGCACCCTGATTTGGTAAGAGTTACTCACCATAAGCTAAAGTTATGATCTGTTATTAGCAGTTGATAATATTTCATTTCTCAAGTGTATATATGTATTTCTTATATCAGCAAACAGTAATTCTGGATTAAAACCTAAGAGGGGTTTTCTTTTCTTTTTTCTTTTTTTTTGTTCTAATTAGTTATACATGACAGTAGAATGCATTTGAACACATCATACATAAGTGGAGTCTAACTTCTCATTCATTTGGTTGTCATGTAATCATATACGTACATAGGGTCATAATGTCCAATTCATTCTACTATCATTCCTACTCCCATGTCCCCTCCCTTGGCTTCACTTCCTGGAGGGTTTTTCTGACTCTAACTTCTTGAGAGTACCAGTGAGTAAATATACCAATTACCAAAGATAATGGTAACTTTAGAATTTAAAAAAAATAGCTTGAAATATATAACAGGTTTTGAAAATCTGTTATTAATCACTCTCAAGTAATAAGAGACCAGATGACACAACAAAACACTCCAAAAAGAATTTCTGTAATTGTTCATTTCGTAATTGTTTGAGTTTCTATTCATTAAATCTTATGTGGTAAGTAATTTGTTTTGTTACTTTTTTTTAATAAAATGAGTGAGTTTTTATAAAGATCTCTGCAAAATTCCAAACCAGTCAGTTCTGTGAATCTCATAGACTGCATGTTTTAGAAATGTAATCAACATACAGGGAACTCTGCTGTGAGGCAGATTCTCTTACTAAAAATGATTCGCCCAGAAGGGTTATGTTTAGCTAAAGTGATGGTTGCTCCAAAAACAACAGGAAGCAGGAGAATGGCAAAATACAGAGGCATCCTGCTTAACCCCGCCTGCTGTATCTGGAGTCTGCACATATGGTGTAACATCAGGCAGTAAAACCCCTGCAGTACTTTGGAACAAGTTAAAGGACAAAATGTCAACCTTAATTTTGAATCTTCTTGCTATGGATGGCTAGAGGTAAAAATTTCACTTGTCAACTGATAGAGCAACATGAAATGGGCTGGTTGTATATGGATGTTTGCTACCTGTCCTAGGAAAACTGAAGGAATCAAAGATGAGTGCAATTTCCTGTGGTCACTTGGACACAAACTTAATTTCTGCCATCTCCGTCTCATACTATAAGACACGTTTACATTATAATTTTTAAAAAATTAGTAAGAGTTGAAATCTACTTTCAATTGATTTTTWAAAAAAATGCATATAGAAAGACTTTGGAAAATATAATGTATGATGAAAGTGTTAACATGTATGTGATAGGCAAGGTTCCTCTGAGAACACAGAGGTGTTAAAGTTGTTTTTGTTCAACATAAAAGTATGCGCCTTCAAATACTGTTGTGCTCATTAAGGACTCCAACAGAACTTTAGAAAATTGATGGCAAACTCTCTGATGCAGTAGTAAAATGTTTTATTTACCTCTAAAAGAGACAGCAGRAATATTGTGAAGATATAGTAAATCTGTAATTTCTGTGAACTTGTGCTTGTGAATGTCAGTATCTGAATTTGTAGATTTCATCTTAAGAGACTGCTCGTGCTGTAATGAGGGAAAAATCAAAGAAAGCCCCCAATTTCCACTGTTTAGTTTGGATGTGTGTCACCTATATGTATAAGGGGGTGGGACGCTASCCAGCAGCATAGTGTCTTTCCAGTTTAGACACTCCTCTGTTCTAAGAAGCCAGGGGAGATCCTCTCCTCAACTAATTGATAGTTGAGTGCTGTTCGTGACACTAATGAAGACAGAGTGTCTCTTGGAACATCCTTTTCTCTGTGTGCTGAAAGCACCATGCCTTTCCAGGGTGCCCTCGCTGGAGGAYCCCACCTGGGCCTGTCTTTCATTCTTTGGGGAGATTGCTCCAAACTCTCCTTCCTTTGCTGTACTTTAAGCCTGATCTGTCATCTGATATGCAGGTTATGCTTTCCTTTATATCCAGCTCTCTGTCAAGTGACAGCTGAATAATAAGGTAAATAATAAGTGTTGGCATATTAATGGGAATCCTGGCTTTCTAATGTTGGTGTCTTAACTGAAAGCAGTTGCTCTAATTTTAAGAAATTCTGGGATTTTTAGGATGTTGGGGAGGAGGCAAAGCTTTTTTTGTTCTTCTCTAGGTTAGGTCATATAGATTACTATTTTGTGTTTTAGTCAGTTTGCTCTAAGCTATGATATGAGGTCCAGGTGAGTGATCTTTAAGTTCTAAGCCAAAGGGGTGTGTGTGTGTGTGTGTGTGTGTGTGTGTGTGTGTGTGTATGATAAATTACATATTGAATTTCCTTATTTCCTTTTATCTACCATTCTCTTATACCAGAAACAAGATTTTATCGATGAAAACTAAAAATAAGACCCTATAACATTCTCTGTAGTTTGCATGCAGTGGTTTTTCAGTAAGGAATTACCAATTGAAAAATAAGAAATCCATACAACAGACCATAGGGATGGGCCTTGATGGCCCCTGGCCAACTCGATGTAGCCATGTCCATTTAGGAAAAGCAGGATGATCAAACCAGGAGTGTGGCTTAGGAATCAGCTATTCTGAACTCTGCTGCTAGGCAGGATGGCACTTAATTCAGCTCTGGCTAGTGAACATGTTTCCTAGTCCTAAGCATCTGTAGGGAAGAAGATGATTTACTCTTGCTCAGTGGTAGGACTTTCTAGAACCATAGACCACATCTTTTATCGCAACTGTGCACACTGATCATGCACAGAAAGAAGCTTGAGATGGAGCATAAACAGTGCAGCCCTGGGAGGCAGGCTTTGCCACCAGGAAAGAGTGGAAGGAAGCTACATTGTGGACAAACACCAGCAGTGAACCAACAGAGTTCATCTACTCCAAGTCTGGATTTCATAGAGGCAGGGATGGTGGCCAATTGATAATTTATAAAATCTAGAATGCCAAACTTTATATTTTCATACCTAATACTTTGTTTTCCCTAGTGCTGGGAAATCAAAACCAAGGTCTTGTGTATTCTAGGTGAGCATTCTGCCACKGAGTGACATTCCCAGCCTGTGTAATAATGTTTTAAAATGACATTTTCAGATAATCATTGATAGCAGTTTTATTATTATTTTTACTTATTTTTTTTTCTAG